ACTTTGAGCTTTTGCGACCGCCAAAAAGCTCCAAATTTCATTGAAATTTCAAGCTTTTGCGACCGCCGCCAGAAAAGCTCCAAATTTGATCGAAATTTCGAGGTTTTGCGACCGCCACCAAGAAGCTCCAAATTTCATTGAAACTTGGAGTTCTTGCGACCGCCAGCTTTTGCGGCCACCAAAAAGCTCCAAATTTGATTGAGATTTGGAGCTTCTGCGACCGCCACCAGAAAAGCTCCAATTTTGATCCAAGTTGAGCTTTTAACCGCCACCAAAAAGCTCCAAATTTCATTGAAATTTGGAGTTCTTGCGACCGCCGCCATAAAAGCTTCAACTTTGATCGTAATTTGAAGCTTTTGTGACCACCACCAAAAAGTTCCAAAGTTCATTGAAATTTGGACCTTTTTCGACCGCCGCTAAATTTGGTGCTTTTTGGCCGCCAGCACCAAAAGGGTTCGTGACATTGCAAACTCGGTTTTCGTTCCACCACTGCAACCACGGTGAGTTAGCGTAACCTTGCCTTTGGGCTGAGATGCATTGAGAGCCTCGGAGTTTGTGGAGATAGTCACCACTTGTAAACCTTACAAGACTTAAATCCCAACACCTTTCGGCTCCATTTCCCACTAGGATTGCAGGATTGAAGATAACCTCTAGCCCGCGCAGATCCCAAAGACTAATCCGTAACCGCATAATCCTCAATCCGTGCAATCCTAGGGGGATTAGAATCAAGCCAGTCTGCTTTCATTGCTTGGAAGGGTTCAGCCTGAACCTGCAGTGAACTGTTTAGAGGGTCTTAGTCTTAGAGTCAAGTTTCTTAGGATGTGTGATTCCGGCGAAACGAAACGAAACGAAACGAAACGAACCGGACCACGAACCGAATCGCTTCGAATCGAAACCAACTCCTAGGAAACCAATTCTTTAAATAAGGAACCGAACCGACTAACTGACGATCGAATCGAACCCACCCTGCGAACAGTGAAACGCCCTCACTCGCCTCGCCTCATGCAGCCCACCTCATGGACCAAATCAAACCTGCTCCAACCAGCTCTTGCATGGACCAAACCCATCCAAACCCCACAAATCCCAAACGAAGCTTTCCAAAAAAGAGTCAATGTGGCCTTGGACCAAATTCCGGCGCAGCGCCATGAAGCATTGGGCACCGAAGGGGGGGGGAGACTTCGTTGCACAAACACCACGGCAGCAACCGAGAAAGTAACCACGACAGGTCTCTTTTTGCGTAAACATGGCGTATCACTGTAAAAAAGAAGAAGCGTGAAGCGGTGGCTTCCTTGATCTGCAACGGAGGCTCGAACCTTGAACACGGCAAGGGCAAGGCCAGGTTTGTCCGACAGCATTTGCAATCTCAAGGGCCACCAAGATCCAGCAAGCATGAAACTTTGCATCTTAAAAGGCGCACAGACGGAACTCCTTCAAATACCCCAACCCAACACCTTTCTGCAATAGATACCATTGGCTTACCAAGAAGGTGATTCTGATGGGCTAGGCTACCTTTCATGATCCCAGCTTTCCTCAACCAAAATGGTCACAATCCAGTGCGCTTGGTTTTCCACCACAGGCGGCGTCCTTCTGTGCTGCGAATGCGCAACGATGGGCGACACTAAAACTAAGGCGCAAAACAACAGAGGTAGATCCAGATAGAGTTGGGTTTCCTGTTGCTATGCAACAATGTTCCAAACATGTTCATGGCTACGAGAAGCTCTTCAAATCTGCGCCCATATCCCAGGAAGGAATTAACGAGACCTCTAAACAATGCACTTCTGATCCTGCAAACTGCAGTCGTGGTAAGATTGAGATTGAGATCAACTTCCAATTTTTAAAGGTGTCATCACTGGCTGCTTTGACGGCAGGACCGGCATGGGTCTCTGGCAGACAGCAAACAGCAGAAAAAGAGAGAACACCACAGGCTAGGCTAGGGGTACAGCGCTGCAAGCTTCAATCGAGCCTACTGCCTAGGTGGAGGGCGAGAAATACCTTTTGCGACCATCTGCTAAGTGATGTTCAAAGCCACTTTCTGAAATTGTCCCAACTTCACTAAACTACGAGTACTAACACTTCAGCTCGATTGATTCCACGCAAATTGGACTGGGGCTATGACACCACCGATCGTGCTCTCCACGATGTGGGGCTCAAGCAGCGGGGGTCTGCTGCTCCCGACCAAACAGAGACAAACAAGCACAACTTTATGGCTCCTTGGCGTCACTGGCCAGAGGGAGGAGAATCGTTTCAGGTTCAAAGTTTCAAGGCCTCGACGCCTTCATGAGCAACATAGCATGCCCAACTAAGACTGCTGGGAGCGCTGGAGCGGAGAAAGAGAGAGCCAAAGACTCCTCCAGCAGGGCTGGAGGGTAAGAATGTCCGTACCCAAATATTCTATGCATCGAAGGTGGGTTTCAACGCATGTGTGGAGTGAGCGTCGGCCACAGGTGCTCCCATCATGCGACCATCACAAGGCATTGTCTTCCTTGAGATCCTGTGTAAAAAATGTTTTGCATTTGCCCTCTTCTGTTTTGGCTCCAAGAGTCTTCCCGCTGCATCAGTGTCCTCAACCATGTGCCCGGCTCAGTCATCGGGGTAAGGGCAGAAACCAGGGGGCATTTTCTGCTGACAAGCATTTTTCCGCTACAATCTTCTATGAATGCTTGCCCAATTAGAGCTGGTTCAGCCGAAAGCCAAGCAAAACCCCACTGCAAAGCTCAGTGCAGGATGCCCAATGCAGCTTCTTCAGCCACGTTAGATTCAACAGAATCTGCGCTATGAATCTGCCCATGCGACATATGTTACCATGCCTACTTGCAGAGAATGTTGTCCGTCTCGCAAAGACAACCTATGACAACCTCCACCAAAATGCCTGGTGGTCCACACCATAAAGCCAGGGCAGCCTTCTTAGCATTTGGAACACATAATGCTGGCCTGAAACTTTGTGAAAAATCGGCACTTCAATTCAACAAATAGATTTAGAATGGTGGGTTTTGCAACACACCTTCTAAATTTCTATAATGGTTGAGTACCATGCATATATCGCTATATGGCGCCATCGCTACATGTATACACATCACATGACCCTGCATCTGAAAAGGCTCGCCAAAGGAAGGCCGAGGCCATGCAGTATCACACTGTCTCCATGCTGGAGAAAAAGAGCGATTTCCTTGAATTTCCTGCATCTGTCATGTTCCTGTATGTCTTTTAATGTTCCTGTCATGTTCCCTTCATGTTCCTTTCAGTTTTCCTTCATCCTGTCATTTCAGTGTAGTGTTCCTTCATGGTCTGTTCATTTCTGAAAGTTCTGACAAACGGGTTATCTAAGAATTAGAAAAAAGAACGTGTTCTAAACGTGAAAAAATGATTTAAGAGTGAAAAAACACATGATTTCCTTGAATTGCCTGCATTGTCTTTCCATGTGCCTTTATTATCTTTATTCTTTTCATGTTCCTTTCATATTCATTTCATTTGCTTTAATGTTCTTTTCATTTCATCAATTCTCTGTCAAGCATTGTCAAGAACAATGATTCAAGAGTTGCAAAACAATCGAAAAATAATGCGTTTCAAGCGTGAGAAAAGAGTGATGTCCTTGAATTTCCTTTAACTTCCTTTGACTTCCTTCCATGTTGTCTTCATTTTCCTTTTGGGTTCCTGTCTTTGCCCTTCAAACATTGACCAATACCAAGGGAAATGAAAGAACCAGCTCAAACACCATGGTTCAATCATGTTTCCTTTTTTGAATGCAATTGTCTGTGGAACACTATTTCAAGTCAATCTTTTTTCATTCCAAAATCATTAGCATTGAATATTGCTTTTCTTCCACACAGGCTGTGGCTAAGCAACAACTCGTATTTATTTGCAAATGTTGGTTGTTGACCCATGTTGCATGCCAAATTGTTTGGAAAATGTGCGCCGCTTCTAAGTTGTTGTTGCCCGGTGAAAAATGAGGGTTGTTCACTTTTTCCTAAAACAGCCCTAGAATTAGAACTTACAATGCGCCACTTTGGGTGCATGCTACGCGTATTTTCCTGCACAGGAGCGGTGTTTTATAGCCAAAATGTACCAAATATAGTTCCGAGGAGTAGTTTATGTTTTCCCGAAGTGACGAAAAGTAATTCTCCGTTTCGGGCCGTCGTTATACTAATTAATATAGTTGTAGTTGGTGGCCGAACCCAGGACAATCAGCAGAAAATTCCAATACAACCCAGCATATCCCCCAAGACAGCCCAACATAAATCCAAAACAGCCCATCAGTTTTTGTAATTGTGAGAATCTAGCAGTGTGCAATGAAGTGGCTCACTAAGTGTGCCGCATTGGGATGTTCAGCTCTGAGTGCTCCGGGCAAACAGCCAGCACTTGACAGAGCGAGGTTGTGGTCAGAACAAGGTGTCCATGGCAGCAGTGCCACTCCCGAACACTGCTCCATGCCCTCGGCTGCCAACTCCGAGCTACTCAAGGACGGGAAAATCGCCGGCCAACATGCCACCCTTTTTTATCATCACATTCTTATCATTCTTGCCTCTCGCGATGCTCGTTCTTGTTCATCTTCAAGTGTTCCACACCAACACATATGGCCGGCATCTTCCCAAAGTGTAATTGGCCTACCAATTCTGCGTCACGCGCACTATGCGTCTGACATCAGCCGCGATCTGATTTCGAGCGGCTGTGTCGCAGCATGGGCTTGACCATTTTTGAGGATCATGCAGAATGCAGAATTGTGAGCTACCCCAGCTATCCCCAACTGAAGAGCTTTGAAGTGATTCAGTTCAATACAGCAGCTGGTGGAATTAGACTACTGTTGTATGGTTGGTGCGCAGCTGACTGCTGCAGATCTTCAGACTGGAGGCCCCAGTATAGTGAGAGGACTGAGAGGCTCGCATTCGGTGGGCCCAAGTAGTGCTGAATTCTTGTTTTGGTGGACTTATTCCTTATGTAGCTTAAACCTCAAGCTCTTGCCGAAGGATTTGGCAAGGTTCATCAGTCTTGCGATATTCCGAATATTCCCATTCACAAGTGACAGAAGTTTCCATTTTTTGCCCATGCAGGAGGCTCCACCAGCACATTGACTCAGCAGAAGCCAGTTGCGCAGTACGCACAGTTTCTCGACGGGTGGTGCCAAACCTCCAGGTTCGTTTTTCACCTTCGGCACCGGGCATGGTGTACGATTTTGTGTGAAACTCTCAAGGGCTTCACCAATAAAACTACAATGAAGCCTTGAAAAGCTCCACCTGCATCTCTTCAAGATTGCCGGTGGGCTGAAGCCTTGAAACTACATGAGGCCAAAGCGAAGCGGCAGGGGCTCGGCCATTTTTGCGAAACTGCTCGAACTTTCGAATCGACCATGTTCTTCACCTCTGCTCAGACGTTTCCTTCGTGGTTGGACCGCTCCCCCTGCGTCGCGACATTCGTGTCTCATGTCAAGGTGCTGTGCGACAGGGCACTTTGAAGCGTTGAGTTTGGGCTCTGATCCAGCAGAGTCGGCAAGGTCCTGGCCGAGAGAAAGACACTTTTGGGCTCAGCTCCTGCGGAGGCATTCCCGAAGTGATATATGACACCTGCAACGAACCGAAGTCGTCCGAATAGTCTGAAAGACCCCGCTGCTTGACAAGCATTATATACCCCGATCTTGAACCGCAAAACACGATTTTTCTTTCGAACAAAACAGCTGCCGACAGTCCTGTTGGTGGGCGACTGGGCCGGGGAGTGGATGGGCGACAAGGCATCAGCTTGTCGCACTTTAGCAATGCCTTGAGCGGAGGCCCAGAGACCAAGGAGATAAGTCAAACCAGGTGCTCGGCTGCCTGATGATGGCCTTTGGAACATATTATATATATATATATATGTGCGTGTGTGTGTGTGTGTGTGGGTGTGTTTGTCGGCCTGCCTGTGGACAATTGACAATAGCCCACATGGTAGCAATAGCCCAAAGAATACACATATAGTTTGTCAGGAAATTCTTAGCGGCTAAGCGGTGTCTCTTGTCCTTTTTTTTTTGGGGGGGGGGGTCGGTGTGACAGTTTCAAAGTGTTCTTTGTCGCGCACACTGCACCTCACCAGTGATCTTTGTGAGTGCTAAACAGGTGTTTGTCATCCCCCATCGAATTCGACCTGGAACCCGGGCTGTTTGATTTTTTGGGAACCCAGCGTTCAGGGCACATAGAGGTGACTAAAAAATCAAAAAGGCTGGAGCCACAGAGCCTAAAGAATCCATGGAAAACATGCCTTTTTAAAGAATAGACACTGACCTTCAAAAATCCTAAAAGTCTATATAACATTATATAACAAATCACAATCATCTTTGCATATGCATGGAAGGGCCTCTGCTTCTCTGTGTTGAGCCATTTCTGCAATGTTCAACACAGATTTTGCAGATCAAGAATCACACTCAATATTGCTCAAAAAACTCGTCTCTCAAGAATCAGGGTCCACCTATCCACCTATAAAGAATTCAAACCCCCAGGTTCCTGGTGGTCCAGTGCACCCTGCTTCTCTTACTGATTTCATTCTTTAAGACAACCCGGGTTGTCTTAATTGTTTAGAGGAAATTCGCACGGGGATTTTTTGTACAGTTTCTCACTGGATGAGGATGCCAACAAACTTGCACTTGAACTGAATCTCGGAGCTGCTACGTCGTGCACTTCGACAATCTCGTCACCACTAGAGCCCCACAGGCCCCACCGCCCAACCATCGACGATCTCACGATTGGGCCAGCGGACACTCACGGCTGGTGCTGTTGGAGGGACGCACCTTTCGTGCCACCACCCGGACACTCGGCAAGGTGGCAGCCGTGTCTGCGGCCGAGCCCGCTGCGGCACTTGCAGCCGTTGAGCCGGCTGCCTCAAAGGGGGGCAGGTGCTTGGCACACAAAATCACAAAATTCTAAACCAGCTGCAAGAATAGGAGTGAGTGGATGCCCCAAATCCTTTCTATCTGTGTTTCCGTGTTCGAACCGGTCCAACCACTGGATTTCTCACCATGCACTGTGAGCCAGGTCTCCAGACTGTGCTCATGTGGCTGCCTTGACGCGAATGTTGCACCACCTTGCAGATGAATCGCACAGAACAGCCGAGATCGTCACATGGTTACATGGAACTCCCACCAAGACCGTCGAACTCCGGCCGATCTCCTTTCACCTCTTGTTTCCTGAGCTCTTGGCGTGCAATGTCTAGATATCATTAGATATCTATATACAGTTGTACTCTGACGCTGAAGAACTATTGCACATGGGAGGGCTTGATTCTCACGTCCATGATCTATTACGGTGAATATTAACCTACAAGGATCTACAAGGTGCATCCACTCTGCACCGAGATTTCCCGGTGATTGACATCTATGTGTCCTTTGCGGCGTGGCAAGCTGAAAGAGCTCCTACAGCTTCAAATGTCCCAAGATCAGAGTAAAGCATTCAATTGGGCTGCACCTGGGTAGCCCGAGACTCGCTTGAGGTGCGCCGCGCTGTGACTTTCACCTTGGCCGACGGCCAACGCACACAATCCAAGTTACTGGGACTTCAAAACAGGCCTAAAAATGGGCAATCAGGAGAGGCGTCTATTGTCAGAGCCCGCTACTTGCACATCATGTGACCTGGTAGGTCAGGCCGCCTTCCCCTTCGAACAGTTTTTACGGAAAAGCCGCTCGCATGCTCACGCCTTTCCATCACACCAGCAGAATTTTCACCATTCCAGAATGGAACAGGACCCTTTCCCTGTGCAAACACTGCTGGCGCCCCTCTCGTGAAAAATCTTTCCCGCCGGCGGGATGCGCTAAAGCCACGGTCTTTCTGGTTGGTTGGTTGCAGCTTGGTGACCCTCTTCGCTCCAAAAGCGAAAATCTTCTTGACACATCCCCGTGGTGTGCACCTAGACCTAAACGTCCTAAAACCGCGCACCACGCCCGGCGGTGCGACGGCGTGCGGCCCAGTTGCCGGGCTGGTGCTGCCACCACTGCTACTGCGCTTGGACTCAGGAAGTCACTGTACGAATGAATCTTGCGAGTAGCTACATTCGTTCGCACAAAAAGGGACTGTTGTGAAGATGTTTGTAACTCCAACTCTTTTGCACTCGGGAATGTCAACGGTATCAAGATCTAGTGGATCTATCCTGAGCCATTGACAGCGACCACCCTGGCAGCTGCGTGAACTCGAGGTGCTTTGGGGTCCACTCGGGTGCCTGCGAATTTGCTCAAAAGAACGACGGCTCCTAGTAGCGAACATTGTTCCTAGTAGTAAGGCCAGGAGCCCCTAGTAGCGTCTTTGCTCCTAGTAGCGATGCCAGGAGCCCGTAGTAGCTTCTTGTTGCTCCTAGGAGCTTGTATGTGGACAGCCAGGGGTCACCCATCAAGAACGATGAAAATGCTGTGAGCTACAAATAGCTCTCTCTCTCGAGAGAGAGAGAGACAAGCCATACACGAAACACACCTGAGGTAGTTACAAGTATGGTCATGCGTCATGGTCTTCTACTCCGCACGTGGACTCTCACCTCTTGCCTGAATGCCAGAAGCCGAAAAATTAGAGTTAGAAAATCGGGGGGCATCATAGATCCATCCTGGAAGCTTGTACATCTGACCCGCCTACCACGCGTTTGATGGGCTCAGGCTCGAGGGGCTCCACCTCCGAATGCACCGCTGTCGAGGCGGAGGGCGGTCGCAGGGCGGAGTCCGCCGCGGCCAGCGCGGCGGCCCGCAGCAAGCCGTTGGTCGAGTCCTGACTCTTCCGGACCACGCGGACGTTCGCCGCCGGCTCCCTTGACCTGGAGCAGCAGGTCGAACGGACAACGGCCGTGTGCCGAAAGCAAGTCAAGTGGTGGGCTGTGCCTGGAACGGCGGGCTTGCGTGTGCACTGGCATCTCTCCTGGTTGAGGCTGCGAGGCTGCGGAAACAATCTGAGAGAATTGGAGTATGAGCTCTAGCTTCGCTTCAGTGGTATTTGCGACAAAGCAGGAACCCATATATGATTCAGTAACTACTGCAATTTCACACATTTGAGCCCATCCGCAGGCCGGCCCGACGTTCATTCTAGTCCTGGAACGGATCCAGGCAGGCTGGCGTTCCAATTGATCTCCGTGGAATGCTCCCGGCTCTGACTCCTCACGCAACCGTAGGGGTGGCATCGGGTTGAACTGATTGAAGCAGTTGACATGTAGCTCGATGGCAATGGCCAGAGCCAAGCATCACCCTCAGCACTGCCTCCAGTAATTATGAAATAGAATGAAGGCTCACAATCCAAATCTCTTTCTAGTTTCTTTCTCCAAAGGTGTGCTGTCAGCGTCCACGTGCCCGGCCGCCTGCTGCGATGGATGACTCGCACCGGCGACACATGAACAGGCTCGGTCGCCGATGAGGATTGCTTGGAGGAAGGTCTCACAGGCGAGGGCCATCCTTGAATCCTGAAGGCCAAAAACATTTCTATGTATATGTATGTATATGTGTGTGTACAGTATACACCATCTCTCCCTCTCTCTACAGAAAAACACACACAGATTGTGTGTGTGTGTGTTATGTGGTGTATACTTTGTGTATAAAGTGCTTGCGCGTGTGTGTTAGTGTAGTGTAGTGTAGTGTAGTGTAGTGTAGTGTAGTGTAGTGTCGTGTCGTGTCGTGTCGTGTCGTGTCGTGTCGTGTCGTGTCGTGTGGTGTGGTGTGGTGTGGTGTGGTGTGGTGTGGTGTGGTGTGGTGTGGTGTGGTGTGGTGTGGTGTGGTGTGGTGTGGTGTAGTGTAATGTAGTGTAGTGTAGTGTAGTGTAGTGAGTGTATGTGTATGTGTGTGTATATAAATATAAATATAAGTAAATATATTTATATATGTGTGTGTGTGTTTATGTGTGTGTGTGTGTTTTTTCTTATTATTTGTTTATGTTTGTGTAGTGCCTCTTGCAAGGCTGAATCTATCTACTCAAACTACCGCCATATGAAGTAACATGCAGTCTCAGGCAACAACCTGCTCTCAAATCAAAAGAGTTATTAGGGCCCATGCTGCTTTGTTGTTCGGGGAAAATGGTCTCCGCAGCCGCATTGGTGGGTCCAACGCATCAAACTCCAAGCTTGCAGCTCCGCATGTGAAGGAGGAGCAAACAGCACCACCAACTTCTGGGGCCTAGGCGAGACCTCCCACTCCTACTACCCCGTGCTCGCCAAGCTGCGGGCTGGCGGGGAGGCCTGCATCGCAAGGAGTGAGCAACTCTTGACTTGAGTAGCGCACGCTGATCGCGATTGCGCTTCACAGGAGTCAGGTCTTGACTCTGCCGGAAGATCCGCCACCACGCATGTTTCAATGGTACTCCCCACCCCGCCCCCCCAAAAAAACAAGAATCAAAAACATTTCTGACCTAGCACATCCACCACTTGAAAGGTTCAGTGGTTGTTTACCCACTCTTGAAGCCAACCAATGACGGAAACACATTCCAACTGGTTCAGCTCTCCTTGCTCCAACTCCAGGTGAGGACGCTCATGGTCCGATCCCCTCAGCAGCCATTCGGTCGTAGGACACTCTGGTGCGGCGAGACATGCCACGGGAAGGTCCAGCAAAGTTACAACACTGGTCATTAACATGGAAAATTGATCATGTCCATGGCATGGACCAAGCCATGTAAGCCACCACAACAGGCTACTAGGCCAGAGTTCCGCCTGCTTTTGACCATCGTTGGACTCAACCTCAAGTCCAAGTGAGGCTGACAGGGCCCGTGACATTCACATGGCATTTCACAGGCTCGGAGTTGGCTCTCCTTGTTCGTGCCCCAATCCCGGCAAGAGGCAGAGATGGCAGTGGTGGATGTGGCACTTCCCCGTAGCTATGTCGCCGCAGTGCATGCAGTGCCGCACTGTTCTTTCCTTCCCTTGGAAACAGAACAGCGTTCCAGCAGGCACCAACATGTGGCTTGGCAGGTTCAACATCAGTTTTGCAAGGTTATACCCACCACTACACCAGACCTGTCTTCAAATCTCCACCTCAGGTTTCCATGGCGTTGGCTGCGTTTTGACAGTGTGGCTCTTCCTGCTTCTGAACAACCCTCCTGGGTTTGGATATATTTGGATCCAACTTCCACGACTGACTGCATCTGTTCGGAGCTCTAGGCCACCGGCTCGAACGCAATCACCGGCTGTGAACTGACGACTCCTGGCCAACTGGCCCAGCCCCAATGGGTTTGGAACCAACCTTATGTCATGTCAAGAAAAGTGCTCCTCGGAAGGCCCTCCCCCATTCACCCGACATGCTGAAATCAAATTGGATTTGATTGACCAAACAGAACCTTTGCTTGTTGAATGTCAAAGACAAGGGAAATGGACCACACGGCATGTCTAAATGTTCAATCAAAGTTTCCGAATGCCTGATGTGCTGGCATCTCGTGCAACGGTGGGAACGCCTCCCTTCAACACCTGCACTACTACTCTTCATAAATAAGGAAACTGGCATGACTTCAGCCCAGTCCTTCATCTTCAGTTCCTGCATCAGTATCTCCTGCACCATAAGTGCTTACATCCTTTTCAATACGGCAAGTCTGACCTCATGGATACATGATCTTATTCACTTCTACACAAATTACTACAGATGTACAGCACCCCCCTTAGAATTCGAGGGGAACCTGGGCAGACCATGCTTTAACTAGAAAACGCGGGGCACGCGCTGACTAGAAAATGGTAGGGGTCAGACCTCTCAAGAGAAAGGGCACTTTCGGAAAGTTCAAACTTAAATGCTTAAATTCGTGCACCTCTAGAAAATTGCGTTTCATGGGTTCCATTTGTGAGTGCTAAGGCAACCGATAAATGAGACCTGAGAAGGACCAGTTCCAACAGGTTCTCCGCCTTAAGGATGGCGGTGCTCTAAAGGAAATGGCGGGCTCTACCAAAGCATTGTACGCTGTGCGATGGGAAAAAGATATGATATATATACCCTTTAATGGACCTTGGGTCGCCGGCTAGTGTTGTACAACACCCTCTCTGATCGTGTAGGCTGCACAGAGCCAGACGAGAAACGTGCCCAGTTTGGCTATGGGTTTGGCAAGCTCTAAAGGTTTGGCAATCTTTCATCTTTCGCAATCGTTCATCTTTCCTTTAAAATTGCAGTTGGGGCTTGGGGGGCTGCAGTTCTTGACCCACCACCTGTTCTTGTTGAAGCACAATGCTCCAGGCAGACAAGCCTTTGAGCACTAAAAGCGAGTTTAGCACACAATTCCTCAGCTCTGCTGTCTGGCAGACCATCGACCGGCGTCCGTCAGAATTGATGTCAAATTTGACGCATTGATGTTTTTCATTCGCTTTTTTTTGTATGTCACACCATCACACCGGCAGGCTACAAATCACTGGCTGCTTGTTCTTCCAACGCTCGAGCTACGCGACTGTGACGGGTGGGGGCAACAGTGCCCACAGCACTTTGGATTCCAATTGGAGCGCCTGCCGTCCTCTGCTGTCGTCTTGCAAGGATTCTTGAGCGGCGGCAATCGTGCAAGGCCGGGGGGGGTCGGCGGGAAGTTTGTCCCGCTCGTTTTGCAGTGGAGCTGTGTGGGGGGGAGAAGGGGCGTCGATCAGCGAAGCAGAACAATCATCTCAAGCCATTCCGAGCGGCTAAACGATTCCGAAGCGATAAGACGAAGTGAGCTGACAACTCATAGCAGGACGTGATGGTGGGAACGGTTCAGGACCTATCTCCACGAGACAGGTCGAGCCTCAAGAAAAGCACCACCATTATGCATTTACTTCAAGCAGGATTTGTTGATTTGAATGCTTTCAGCGGCCCATCATCACACTCTTGCAGTGACAAAACCCAAGGCAGAAGCATGTTGGGACAGCCACCAAGCGGGAGACAAGAAGGGGACGTGAGCCGAAATGGGCATGGCAATTTGATTTCCTTGCGTAGTTTAGGGAATAGAACTTGCAAAAGCAGCCCTTGCCTCTAAAGATCGTGCCTTTTGAGATGAGGAGCAGCTTTAGAACCACTCAGCATGCACAGCATCGGCATCACCCTCACTGACCTCACCTCCAGGAGGCTCTTCGGTCACCACCTCTTTTAAGCTTTCGTCCTTCTCGGTCTCAGGGTAGACCTGCAGGAGGGGTTTCTCAAGGCCCCAAATGACTTGTTGCAACTGCTAGCTGCCTACCACTTCTAGATTCGACAACTCTACAAGCAGGACCGCGCAATGGTAAACTGCCCCCACTCGCCTTGGCCTTATTTTTCCTGCGCCGTTGGTCAATGGCACGCTTCCTCATGAGATAGATTGCACCTGGAGGGCAGGGACCTTTCAGAAATGCCTGAAAGCATCTGCACGTATCTGCACCAACAGCTGGCCAAGGTAACTCCCATTGGTTAAGCCTCAAGAAAAGAGACTCCTTCATAGGGATTAACCTGAATGGCCCAGAATGGCACCACACAACCATACTATGAACATGACAGGGACCATAGAAGAAATCATGCTTCTTCTCCATCCCGTTTGGACGATCGGGGGAACCTCCAGCAAAGGCGGAGGCCACCAGCACCACTGGAATCGTGAAAGCAACAGCCACGAGGGTGGAGATGCTCTGCTGCTCGACCAATGGAGTATGCCTCCGCGAGATGAGACACCGGTGGACACGGTGCATGGCATTTGGAAAAGCACTCGATCTCTTTTCATGGCCCCTGAGCCTCTGAGGCGTCCTATTCTCTTCACTCTGGAACGCTTCTTGTTACACTTGTTCTTTCCTTGATGACCCATCTGCCCTGTCCTTGCTAACTGGGGGGGCACGGAAATTCTCACGGTATGAGCTGCCATCCTGCCTGTAGTACACAGCATACGTGCCACTGCTGGTGGTGGAGCAGGTCGCGGTCATGGTCTCCCTGTTTGCACTGGTCAAGGAGATGTTGTCTCTGACCCATTCCTGAGCACCTAGGCCAAAGTGCCCAAGATTGCAACAGATCCTCCAACAATGGGATCTTTGGAACGGATGGATCTTCATACCCTCAGCACAAGTCTGTAGAGATGTCAGGCATGGTTTGTGTTTTGGAATGTTTTGGCTATGGCGACTTAAGTGCATGTTGCGCAAACAAACAAGTTTGGAAAATGTGTTCATCAAGAATCAACAGGACATACCTGACATTACCTGTCTGCACCAAGCTGGTTGGACGTGCTCCTTTAAGACATGGGTGATGACGAATCGTCCGGCCCACGAGATCCCACGAGATCCCGAACCGAAACTGTCCGTGCCTTGGTCGAAGATCACGCATGTGGGTGTCTCGTCCACTTGGGCATCCCTCTCTGGAAGGGCCACAGTCACCTCGACGGAGCTTCCGAAATCCACCACCACTCCGCAGCGCGAGAGCCTTGGGAAAGCGGCCAAGACGAGCCGAGAGCCGCTGAAGGGAACTGACCCACTGCTGCGGATAGTGTATAGGGTGGTAGCAGTTCGCAGACGTTGCATGGATTGTCATGTTCCCATTCTGCGCTTGCATCCTCTTGCGAGATTTGAGAGCTGCAAACGGTCAGTACATGGCAGCAGCCTGTCCCAACACGGCCTAGAAACTCTAGCACGGAGACTGTTGCATTGTTTGCAATCTCGCTGTTGATGCCTGGGTTGCCAAGCCCGTTCGTCAAGCAAGCATATGTTGGACTGGTCTTGATGCATGCATGTTCTTACATATAAACGAATCAAACGAAGCACCCTGTCATGGAAGAGTTATACAAACGAGTTATGAGGCATCAATGTAGCAAGGCCGGCAGAAATGGAACTCGCGTTGGCTGTGCTAAGCTTCCCACCAAAGCTTGCATTGGCCCAGGAGTAGGGGTTGCTGGCGAACCAGTGGGTGAACTGAAGCCCCACATCGTTGCCTTGGAACACTCTCTGCAGCGTTTGGAGCCTGTGAATACCTTGCAGCCTCCACCTGAGACCGTTTGGCACACAGAACCTGTCGCACAGCACCGACAAGCCCGTCTGGCACAGGCCAACTCATTCCCCATTTCACCACATGGGCGTCCATTCAGGGAATTGAAGCACCACCACTGCAAAAGTTTCAAGAAACACTGGCAGCTTGGAAGCACAAACACCTCTGGGCCATAACAGGCTATATTATATAAATATATATATATATATACATTGCTTGACCATCTGCGAAGGCATGTATTCGTGCAGCTTGCCTCCACTCCAACTTCCACATGCTTCCCCTAGTCCGTACACGCAGGAATTAAACTTCATGAAAATGAGTCCTCTTGAAGGAAGCTATCCTCCACGGAGGAGGTATCTCAATTGAATCTTCCAACCCTTCCACCACCCAACAATTGCAACCTCACGTTTTGAGGGCAATGCTCTTGACCAGGTCCAGCCACCTTCTACCCAATCCCCTCGATGCCAAGACACATTCCTGCAAACGCCGGGACCCTCCTAGTGCTGCACTCGGCACATTAGCACCAGGCGAGGATAGACCAGACCTGCACAAGCACGCATCTACCGAGAGCCACAAGAAAAAGAGTAAAAATGTCACGGCCTCTGAGGCCCTGGTCTCTGGTACCAAAACAATAAATATAGAGAAACAAATCCAAACAATCAAAAAATGAAGCGGAGCACCAGTCGGTTGACACCGTGCTCTCCTCTTCTGACTCTCCGGTCTCCCACCTGGCGGCATCCGCAGCGGACACCTTGGCGAGCCTGGACTCCGTGCCGCGGCCCGAGGCATCCACCGAGGTGATCGCCTCGACCAAACGTACGTAAGAGGGCGGTCGCATGTCTGTCAGGCTCCGGTGGCATGATGGAACTCAATGGTCTTGCATGGTTTTGCCCACATCATGGCATTGTTTACGTTTGCAACTTCTCGACTCTCACGCTTGTTTCGCAACAGCCCTTCGACGTTCCATGATCAATGATGACGAGTGCTTGGACCTTGTCAGGCCAATTCGAGTCCGGTGTCATCTGAGCGAACCCTTGGGTGATTGGCATGCAGAAAGGCATTGGTTACGTTTCTTGGGAAGATAACCGCCCTAGGTCTTGTAGCACACAGATCTGTCAAACAACCTGATCATCGGAGCCAAACAAAACAACTGCCACAACATGCCACAAGCACGACGTTCAAAGCGTGTTTGCCCGGCCTGCGTGCCGTTTGCTGGGAGTGAGTTCATCATCACCTGTGCGTCAACAATGTTCGCAAACGTTGGTGAAACACGCCACATCACACAAACATGAAAAGAACATGAGATGTCCCTAAAAATCTAGGAACCAAATGATTAGTGCGAACGCTTCTTCAAGGAAGCTCCCCCCACCGTGAGCTATCCTGCGTCCAGTAGGTAGTAGCTTACTCTCCTCAAAAAATATGCCAGCATAGACCCCAAACAGTTTCAACATGTGTTTTATTGGCTAATGTTGGTAGCAACGTCTGCATTGGGAATGGCATGTAAACAGAAAGATGTTAGAATCTGTTAGAAAACAATAGTTCCTGTTACCCGAGGACACATGTCATGCGCAAACACGACGGGATAATTGTTATATGTCCAAAGGACAGCAGGAAGAAAAGAGGAGGCAAAGGACAGGAGGAGGACAAGGCCACAGGGTTCGCCCGCACCGCCAGCGGACAGCAGGAAGACAAGAGGAGGACGCAGGACAGCAGGAGCACATCAGGACAAGAGGAGGAAACAGGTTTTGCGAGCGCAGCCAGCAGGACAACTGGAGGAGAAGAAAAGGACAACAGGAGGACAACACCCGGACACAGGGTTCAGGGGCGCGCCCACAGACTGGCCAGTGTCTTTTTTCCTAAGAGAGAACCCCAACAGTAACAGTGAGCTGTTTGGGGAAAAAAGGATTTCCAAGGGGCAAAAATCACCTCATCCGCCACGCGCGCACCCGAAGGCTTCGCCTGGCCCAGCTTCGAGACCAAGTTCAGCGCCTTGGCCTCGAGTCGTCGGACGTCGGTGTGAGCCGGTGTCGCACGTGGTCACCGGAGAGTCACGTGGTCTGCTAGTCTAGGAGTCTAGGAGTCTAGAGCATCCTTAGGTCCTTGGAAGAGTGAATGACTATATATACAGTAGAGCGACTAAAGTTTTTCGTGACTAGCCTGGGGCACGCAAGTGAAGTCTGTTTTACCAGTGCCGGACAAGGGCCGCCAGCCGTACGTCAAATAGATTCAAACAAATAATTTGCCTGATTCCGACAACAAACGATATGCAACCTATTGCAACCTGTATGATGCATCTAGTCTATATATGTAAAAATATGCATATACACCGTACACCCCCCACCCAACAAAAAAAGAAAAACAATAAGCACGGCAGGCTCTGAATGCGGGGTGCCCCTATCGTCGAAGGCAAGGCTCTCACATATCAGCGTGCGAGACTCAGAAGCTCTCAACCTTTTATCTCCAGTCACTTTCTTGCGGCACCTCGCTCTGCCAGCACATTGGCCGTTTCTCGTGCCACATCTTCCGCCTTCGGGGAGAGCAAACTGTCACGCATGAGCACCAAAGCCAAGCCAACACAGCGCAGAGTCACCGAGATGTTGACCAGCAAATGCAAAATGATACTTTCTTGCTGCAAAATCCGCTTGGGCAATCGCACTGCAAAGGCCAGCAGCAAACCTAGCAGGAATTTGAAGCAATGCTCCTTCAGGCATGCTGCCAACAACTCTTCCTGTGAGAGCCATGCCAGCCATTGAGAACTCTCGCGTCCAGCGGTGGCCGTTGGTGTAGGAATTGGGGTTCCGGGTGCCTCGCCCACAGGGGCTGCTGAACTCTCCGGCCGTTTCCGGGGTCTGCGGGGCTTCTTTCCAATGGACTCCAGAAATAACATCATGCCGATCACCACAGAAATGTCCAAAACAAAGAGGCCACCCCATAGGATTTTCTGGCTGACCTGCCACACCTTCGCCCCGGCCCGTAGAGCCCACTCCTTCAACCAAGCCCACCTCTCAAGGAATGGCCGTTTTTCCACGGAGGTCGAAGTGTTGTGAACCGGAGTAATCTCAGCTGGTGTGGGGATCCATTTTTCCGCAAGGCTTCGGCTGAATCTGGAGATTGAATCTGTAGACCATGCAGATTGCAAACCCGAAATGGTCTGCAAAGCGCTCACAATGTTTTCCTCAATTCCAGGAGTCTCCAGGTCGAAATCATCAAGCACTCCAAGGATTGCATGCACCTCGTCATTGATACGCCCCAAGGAGGTTTTGATCTTCTTCAGTTCTGCCCGGCCCAGGACAGGCCGGGGCTCGCATGCTACCTCCGCTTGGGAGACAGGTACTCCGCAAAGGAGAAGCAAACCAAGTGACACACAGCCCGCATGGCTTCGCATCCTCGGGCCTTCCATTTGGAGATACGGGAAGTCCCGTATGTAAGTTTCTGAGAGGACCATGTTCTATGTGACAATCTACGGCAAGTCAATCTATGCAGCTGAAGCTATTTGCTGAAAAATCTGGCATTTTTCGGAAGTTGCTTCTAGAAGGGCAAAACCCCTATGTCTTCTTTGGGGCGTCATTCATGCGGGACCCCGCTGGACACTGTTATTCACACCTACGTGGGGGGGGCACCGAAAGTCCTGCCCCTTCTGAGAGCCGATATTGCTGACCCTGTGGGGCGCTCAGCTGCTTGGCCCTAGTGTCGAAGAAAAGTCTCAATCGTGGCCCCCTTACATAGATGACGGTGCGGTTTCCAATGCATTTCTAGTGGGGATCTACTTTTCGGTCTCTTCGGGGTCTATCTATCTAAATACCTGCAGACCAGAAGGCTTTCGGTAGCACTAGCTGGGTCAGAGTGGGCTTGATGAGTTCAGTGACACCACATGCAAGGTGGTGCTTCGTTCAAGCTCCTAACCTGGAGCTCATCCAACGCAAGTCCTTCCAAACCAACAGGGCCCTAACCAGGGCACTTCACTTTGAAGTCATCCCGGCATAATCGAAGAATCGTCGAAGAAAGACTCCCGAACCCATGACCCCCCAAGGATGCGCACCAGGAATTCCAAGGCACGGTCACGCTCGCTGACGCTGCAGCGTCGCCACCCCCATCACTGTTGGCCGTGGTGATCGTCAGTAGTGACCCCAGCATGGCATTGCCGGCATCTTCGTCCACCACCTTTGACGAGTTACTTGCGGCGTGCTGCGCCCGGAAAGGATGAAGGCGTTGGCTGTTTTTGTCCAAACAGGTTTGGGACTTGTCTGGAAGTTTGGGACTTTTCCGGAAGTGCCGTAGAAGCAGAAGAAGAAGCAGAAGGAGAAGGAAGAGGAGGAGGAGGAGGAGAGGGCGAGGAAGAGAAAGGGAGAGACGGACGGAGAGGGAGAGAGGGAGAGGGAGGGGAGAAAGAAAAAAGGAGAATGCAGAGGAGAAGGAGCAGAGAGGAGAGAGGAAGTATTAGGGTTTCTTTCGGCTTGGCTTCAGATTTCACTTCTTTAGGGTTTCTTGGGGGGTTGTTTGGCGCTTCTTTTATTTAGGGTCTATTTGAGCTTGGCTTCGGGCCTCACTAGTAGCTTCTTGCTACTAGTAGTAGTGCCCTTGTTTCCTGTAGTAATGTCTCACTTCTTTAAAGTTTCTTTGGGCTTGGCTTCGGATTTCCTGGGCTTAGCTTGGGGCTTCGCTTCGTCCGGGTTTGTTTGGGTTTGGCTCAGGGCATGACTTCTTTCGGGCAACTTTGGGGTTAAAAATGCCTGTGGAAAAGGACTTGCTTGCGTGCTTGCTTCCTTTCTTCCTTTCTTCCTTTCCTCCTTTCTTCCTTTCGTCCTTTCTTCCTTGCTTCCTTTCGTCCTTTCTTCCTTTCTTCCTTTCTTCCTTCCTTCCTTTCCTCCTTTCTTCCTTTCCTCCTTTCTTCCTTCCTTTCCTCCTTTCTTCCTTTCGTTCTTTCTTCCTTTCCTCCTTTCTTCCTTCCTTTCTTTCCTCCTTTCTTCCTTTCCTCCTTTCTTCCTTCCTTTCCTCCTTTCTTCCTTTCGTTCTTTCTTTCGTCCTTTCTTCCTTTCGTCCTTTCTTCCTTCTTTTCTTCCTGTTTTCCTTTCTTCCGTTCTTCCTTTCCTCCTTTCTTCCTTTCGTTCTTTCTTTCGTCCTTTCTTCCTTTCGTCCTTTCTTCCTTCTTTTCTTCCGTTCTTCCGTTCTTCCTTTCTTCTTTTCTTCCTTTCTTCCTTTCTTCCTTTCGTCCTTTCTTCCTTGCTTCCTTTCGTCCTTTCTTCCTTTCCTCCTTTCTTCCTTCCTTTCCTCCTTTCGTCCTTTCTTTCTTTCTTTCGTCCTTTCTTCCTTTCGTCCTTTCTTCCTTCTTTTCTTCCTTTCTTCCGTTCTTCCTTTCTTCCTTTCTTCCTTTCGTCCTTTCTTCCTTGCTTCCTTTCGTCCTGTCTTTCTTTCCTCCTTTCTTCCTTCCTTTCCTCCTTTCGTCCTTTCTTTCTTTCGTCCTGTCTTCCTTTCGTCCTTTCTTCCTTCTTTTCTTCCTTTCTTTCTTTCTTCCGTTCTTCCTTTCTTCCTTCCTTCCTTCCTCCCTTCCTTCCTGCCTCCCTTGCTTCCTTCCTTCCCTCCCTCCCTCCTTCCTTCCTTCCCATGATAAACAACCAAAAACAAAACATCAACGCTCCCCGCCAGAAGCCATGAAAAAGGCGCCAAAAGCAAGCGAGCACGCCCTCTACAAGTCACTTCAAAGCAATAGACAAAATGGAAACGCGTGCAGAAAAGCAAGCAGGACCAGCACAAACAAACGAGCAAGGGCAAAAAACAAAGCAAAAGCAGAAGCAAAGACAACGGCAAGATACGGCAAGCCATAACAAAATACTCTCCCAGAAAACGAAACACAACAGCCAACCACATTGACCTTGCGCTCTCAGTTCTAAAGCTCTGTTCTGTAGCTCCACTATGCCCCTGCAAAGCGTTTCCTTCCGAGCTGCCGCTGTGGCGGCTGAAGCTGTGGACAAGACCGTGTCCAGCACGGCGGAGGCACGGCTCAAGGTGGACCTGGCCAAAAATCCCAAGTTAATACATGATATGTCTATGCACTGCACTGTTGCGCGGAAAGGTTCACTTCTATTTTGGGGACATCAAGTTGATGTCATCCACAGTCCACGTCAGTGTCAGTTGTTAGTGTTCAAAGGTGACGGTACAGTGACCGGATGGCAAGAGTTCAAAGCTGCGAAGCGGCAGGGAGCAAAAGAATGCTAGCACCAACTGATGGGGCCAAAGCACTTGTCTTGAGTACCAGCTGATCCACTGGAGAGTGCTGCGGCGATTACACCACCCACCTGGCACCACGGCATGCAGCTGCGAGTTGGATTTGAAGCATCTCTCTCTGAGGAAAGAGCACAAAAATACGGCGAAGCAAAAACAGAGTCACCAAAGCTTATCTGAAAGCCTCAGGGACAAGACTAACACTTGGATTTGGGAGGATCGAGAAGGTATGCTATTTGGGTCAAAGGATCTGACATGTCTGGAGACAATTGAAGGTGCCTTTTGCAAGGTGGATGAATCTGGAGGTGCTAGGTCGGCCGCGGCTTCCAGTGCAGTCATGGAGGCACTGACAACCTTAACTTCTCGAACAACTCAAGCAGAATGGAATGTAGCATTCAACCCCTAACTAAAGAGAGTACCCAAGAGTCTATTTGGCATACACGGCGGAACCAAATACCACTTAGTTTCGTCTATTTCACTGCACTTTTGGTCTTTAGGTCTTTGCGGGAGGGCTTTGCCCAGCTATGTCGCATCAGCGAATCAGCAGGGTCCCTTTTGAGATGGCGGACCCCGAAAGTGGTTGTCGGTTTTCGTTGCAAGCAGTCAAAGCACACCCAGCAACCATTGAGGTCACATCAGCATGCATGCATGCATGTATAACAAGACGGGACCGCTAGGCTATATGCCTGTGTCATCACAATGCTTTATGCATCCCCCTGTTGCACCTGATCCAGCTTGGGAGACCAGACTTAAAGGCGTCAGACTTATCATGAGGGAGCCTTTATATTTAGCCTTCCAGGGATGTTTACCTATTGGATGATGCATCACATGTTCAGTTGCACAACAACATGCAGGAGAACCCCGCCGGATGCTCATTGCTTAATAATAGATGTGTGTGAGTGGGTGGGTGAGGTATAGGTATGCAATGGTATGTATATGATCGTATGTGATATACAAAGTTGTGGGTGTTGCCCACCTCCCATGGCTGAAATCCATTTCGGCTCACCAGGAAGCCGCTCGTGACTCCTCGGCGCTGCCAGCCACACTGACCGAGCTCACGGCGGCCACGGCGTTGAGGATGCTGTTGGCCTGGCAGGAAGGATCACCAGTTCCTTTCACAGCGCAGGGTCCCACCACCGCTTGTGTCTCGGTCTCCCTAAGGTCTCCGACCCTGCTTTCTTCGGAAAGCTGGCAATGCACATCATGTGCTATCAGTTGAATCAGTTTGCTAAGCGGCCAACCGTATTGATCCACAGGGTTTGATCAGAATCAAACTTATATAGTGCCATCAAAAGCGGACGTTTTTACCTAAAGAGGGATATGCCCTGCCCAAGTCCTTGCTTCACACACCCTTACTGTAACCCGTCGTTGCTCGCGAAGCCTCATTGAGTGCCACAGCACTTCCCAAGGCGGCCGTGGCCAATGCAGGCTCCACACCACCAATGGGGGCTGTGACCGTGGGACCCTGGACACCCACCACCGCCATGGCGCCAAAGTGGTCGCCTTAAGACAATCATGCTGAGCGTGTTGCGTCGTCGTTTCGCGGTTGTAACGCGCTCTGTGGTCCGAACGACCTGGCTTGGAAAGGAACAATTGGACCAAATCTGTGGCTGACATAGAGGCCAATACGAGAACACCGTGGCCATGACTCCAAAGGTATAAGACAATGCCCGTCTCTCCCACCTTCCGATGTTTTTCACCGTGGTGCTCCTCACGAAACGTGTGGGGATGGGGTGCTCTTCGCGAGCTGCGGTGGAAATTGGCTTCCAGAACCCTTGGCCAACAGAAACGTAAACCCTCGAAGCTTCGTCCCCACTTCGCGCAGCGATCCACCACTTCCTGCAGCGAAGCGACGCACACGAAGGATGGTGATCAAATCGCCAATGGGCAAAATCGTCTCACAGCTGGCGCTCTTGGACCTGAAAACGCGCTCAATCACAACGAAGACGACCCAAGAGAGCGCTCTGCTGTGCCGATTAGGTCCTTGGAGTCTACACTACAACTTTCACCAGGCTGTTGGTTGCGCTGTTCGTGGAATCCACCCAACATCAATCTCTGTTTGGTGAAATCACTATATGGTTTTAGGCACTCTGCTGCCCAACCATGGTGTAGTGGACCCCCTGAAGTAGGAAATAGTCGCAACTGCATCCCACACTGAAAATCTTCGCCACCCTGTGCCAGCTACCTCAAATAGCAAGCGTCTACCCACCAAAGCACGTGGGATCCTAGTTATCCTGCATCCTTCCTGCGTGCCATGTCCTTCAAAGAAAAGCTCTCAGTCTAGGATGCCCTGCCAATCTTGGAGTAGGACACCTCCCAGGTTCACCCAATAGCTGGAGCTTGAGCTATTGTCCCACCTCAGTGGACAGCTCGTAACCGCACAGCACTAGTCCCTACCAGCTTTGCACCTGAATATCTTCACTTGGAACGAGCTTGGTACAAGTTTATTGCAGGTTTGCCTGCTGACCTCCCTGCTGCTTTGTGAAGGACACTGGAACCTAGAGGAAATCCTGACCACAAGGACAGCATCCTTCAACACCCTAAAGCAGCAACAACGCCCAAGCACTCCAAAGCTGTCACCGCTGCTGGTAAATCCCATGGAGCTGTCAAAGAATTCAGCTGCTCCTGTGTGAACTGGTAGAAAGCCTCAGGCACCAGGAGGGTCAGTCATGCATATAGTAACAAAGTGCATCGCTACTAGTAGCAAGGGCATTACTACTAATAACAAGAAGCTACTAGTAAAGATGCACTTTACTTTACATGCTTTCATCTCACTGTTCCTTGAGATTGACACAGTCTTTAATCTCGACTCCCCAATAAAGAGCACCATGTCCGAAACCATAATATGGTTCATATGTGTTTTTAAATTGCCGCCCTTGCAAACCGCTACTAAACTACCAACATGGTCGATTTTTGTAGTTTTTATAATTAGGTGCCAAAACAACCAATAAAGGTTTTTGTAGAGAAAAAAGAAAACCCTTTGATCTGGAGGTGTTTTAAGTTTTGATACGAGTTTAATAATTTTATATATATATATATAAATTTCCTGGGTGACTTTTTGGTTTTGAAGCTCTTCCCAGGTGGCCCTATTTTGGACAACCCCGATTTCAGGGACCCCCTATTAAAAGAATGCGACCGAGATTTTCTTAATGGGGGGGCCCTCGTGTTTTTTAATAGGTGCAAGGGATTCATATTTAAGGTTGACGCTTGGCGCACTGTGATGACACACCAACGGATGGACACTGCTGCAAAGTCTAGAGTTGATATTGCACGCGAACATGACTCGTGCGAGCACGAGTTCCTGAATTGAAGCGAGAAACATATTGCAACTCACTCACCGACTCATCCACCCAGTCAAGCGCATTGAGTTTGAACCTCAGCCACCAAGCAGGCAAAAACACTGCATATAAAGGCACAAGTTCGAGAAGGTTGGTTGTGCCTCTTTTGGTGAGGCCTTTGTATACCCCCACGTCATTTGAACTTTAGACGTTTGGCTCCCACAACGGCCCACAACTCCTTGCAGGACCCTGGACCTTGCTTTGGTCAAGGCGCTTGGTCTCCACTGCGAAGCCTTCCGGTGGATCAGCCACAACTTGCCCATCGCGTGGCGGCCCATCCGCCAGGAATGGGGACGAACGAACGATGAAAGCTCCTGCGCCACGTGCCGATTTTTAGTGAGGATCTACTTTTCTATCCTTTGGGAGCCTATATAAGATGGATCAAGGGCCTGCTGGAGAATTCGCTGTGGCAGCTGATGGTCTTTCTGCTTTCATTGCTTATCTGAATGAATTGTCAGACTGCCATGAGCTGTCATGCTGTGAGAGTCATGACTGCGCCGTTCTGTTGCCAGTTCGAATGGCTGTCCTGCAGCTTCTGCACTAGTCAGGGATCCCACCACATTTCCATCCAGGAGCGTGATGGTATTATCTTGGAGGCCAAGCATCAAGACCTGAAAGCATAAATTTCTCGTTAGGCCAGAGATTGCAGCATAAGAGATCTCAACAAAACCACTCCAAAAAGAAGTGGTATTGAAAACATTCTTCGCAGCAAAGGCTCATATTGATAGAGCTCTCCGACCGTGAGCTGTGAGCCGTCGAAGGTCGAGCTGGACAAGGTCAGCGATGCGTATGTCTCGTTCCAAGATCCTTCAGGCACCTTGGACACGAACATTTCGTGTCTATGGAATGCCAACAGGAAAGCACAGCGGCACGGAATGACGAGAAGAAAAACATTGAAAAAAACTGGGTAGTGCGGGGAAATGCACCCAAATACTCATCCACATCAGACCTGGTAGGGAGGCCATCACTAGCAGGTTGGACTACATGGCTTGAGGCAAGAGGCGTAAACTGACAAGATCACACCCGCGGAGCTCACCAAGGTCCACCTGGCGCAGTGCGGATTTGAGTGCCGGTTGAGACCAGCCGTTGGCCCTACCCCATTGGATAAAGAAGGGTGGTGAAAATCAAATAAGTTTACAAGGCGAAACGACAAGGCTCCAATACGACACAAGGTACCGGTACCCAAGGAAAAAATTTGTGAAAAAACACATAAGTCATAAACGAAACTTTGTGCAGCCTGTTGGGTGCACCGCGAGGAACCTATTTACACAGAGTGTCAAAACGAGCAACTGGTCACATCGAGTGAGAGAGAAGTTTTTTATTCACATTCGGAGGCCCTAATTCACCCAGATTCAGTCAAAATGACAGTCAGCCATAAGCCCGTGCTTTTTTGCGGCAGGTGTTTCTCAAAGTTGCTGGTTTGATCAATCGAAAGTTTGGGGACGAGCCCTTTCCAAGCCCTGTGCAGGTTCTGTTGTCCAACTTTTCCGTGAGCACCCAAAGCGCACTCTTCCTATGGAGCTTTGCCCGTACTAGTGAGATACTACGAGTGAGATGAAGAGAGGAGTGGGACGCGCAAACGGGTGAAAGTCGTAGACGTTGAAGTCTTGAAGTATCGGGGAATGGGCAGGAGGGTGAGCAGCATTGGGTGGTGGAGTGCTGTTTCTCATGGTGAGACAGGGTGAAGAATTGATACCAGGAAATGGGTGGAATTCATGCGAGGGTTGTCTGTGTGGCACGCTCATCATTGCAAAGGCTGTGCAAGTCGGTAGTCTTGAGACATGCAAGTTGAATCACGAAAGGTTGGTA